GCTGTATGTGCAACACTTTCCTCCTGAGATCAATAAGGTTTCTCTTAATATTAATTTCATATGGCGCTACAGGATATGCTCACCCTCCAGTTTTTGTATCTGTCACAGGATGTAGCTTTCTGGGCCCTTGTCTCCATTTGGCGCACTTTGATGACCTCAGCAATAGTTAAAGGGACAGCTACCTTTCCAGGGACCTTCACGTTTAAAGAGGACTCATCAGGATCAGTGATTGACTTGTCATCCTTGTCAAGTAGAGTCACAGGGTTAAGCTCATTAGGGGAGATCAGGGCAGCAGACGTACAGACTGCAGTTTCAAGTTGCTGGTGAGGGAACGGGACCTCTGCTTCATCCTGGAGCAGCCATGGTGGGGGTCCATGGGCGAAGATGATAGCACGGGGAAGAACAACTCCTGCTCCAGTACTGAACACACCCAAGGCAGAAGTACAGCTTTTGGGTGAACATAGGGACATCCAGCACAAAGCATGTGCCCCCAAGCATTACAATATCTATATACACACATCTGAGGGCAATTAGCAAGGTCTGTACCTGTTATGTTGTTCTTCCGAAACAATTTCTCATCATGCAGATCTTCCTAAAAGCACAAAGAGCTGGCAGCTTTTGTACAAGTTACTCTGATCCGATGAGAAGCTAGACCAGTTGCATATCTATGTTATAGCTCATTCTTCCCTATCCTTATTATGACAGTTTGGGAGGGATAAGCACTTACAAGTAAATGGAGTCTGAAAAGCATCAGGGGGCAATCAATCAATCACTGGGCAGAACACTACCTCACAGTCGTCTTCCGGAAGATCAGGCACCAAAATGGGATTCAGTAGAAAGGAGGCATCCTCAGAGGAAGAATCCGCAAACGCAGACTTCTGGCACCTTGTGGGAGAGCCGGGGTTGTCTGTGCAAGTCGAGAGACACTTTATTTTGACTGAAGTAAAAAAAATTAGAGCTGCTTTCCGGATCTCCCAAGCACTTAAAGCGTGTGTCGAATCAGTTGAAAGTACCTTTACATGCTAACCTCCTTTTATGTGAGGATAACAGTTTCTGTTGGTCCACCGACTGAATTTCCTTCATCAGTAGCTCGTGTACGCTAGCCTCCTCTGTGGGCCGGGTCTTCAGCTTTCGATCAGAGGCCTGCACAGAGAACATGGGGACGGGTCTAGGATGACGTTGCTGACCAACAGGAGTTACCACGGCGAATCAACGGAACCCCAAAAGAGGATGCCATACTCCTGGCACCCCGTACCGCGGTCTACAAACTCACAGGCTTCAGTTTGGGTCTCGAACGGACAAATTCCAGAAGAGATCCATGGGGATCCATCCACTTACGTCTGTTATCAACAGTCTGCAGAAGGAAAAACGTGAGGAGGGCTGAACCGACCTGAAATATTCAGTGTCAAACAGCAGAGCCAGACACGAAACAGCACGGCTCGCCTGGACTTTGCGTAGCTTGAATCTCCGGTGTTGGATGTCTTCCAAGAGCTGCTGGAATGGGGAGTGCTCCGCAGGCAAGGGGGCACTCATATTCAGGCGCTCCTCTACGTGCCTCAGCTTCACCCCCCTGCTCAGCTCATCCACCAGGGTTTTCCACGCAAATACCTCAAAAAAGAAAATGCATGCATGGTCACCATAGATATCAACTCAAGATATACACATATGGTTTTATTTTACCCATGTTGACAAAGACAAGTTTCACTATTGCCCCTTCCCCAGTCAGTAACTCTCCCCCCCACCCCCCACACTATTCACTGCAGCCGGATTGACACGTATGGGTCACACATCGCACAACTGTAAACAGAGAAAAATACCTACCCAGTTTGATACACCTCTTGTTTCTGGTTCTATGACCAACTTTTGTAGAGTCTGGTAATATTCAGAAACATATACATAAACTTCACACCAACATACAGACCTAAAACCAGTAGGTCACAGAAACAATGTTAGCAGTGGCAGCATGATGCATTCATATGAAAGCAGCTGTTTGACCACCTAAACCCACCCAGGCTATACCCCAGCCCTGTGCTCCATGCTGCCTGAGACAGGTTGTAACCCTGACCAGGATAAGCAGTTGGAGGATGGATGGACGGACAGAAACATCTAGTAGTAACCATCCATAGTAAAATGGTCCACAAACATGAGATATGTGCTTAACAGCAACACGATAGAAACACAGGCAGGAAGATTGGCTTGCACAGGGATCCTGTACACACTTCTCTGGCACACTGCATGGTGTAGAGGTACCGACACAACTCCACAGTCTCCGAGAAGAGGGTGCAGCACACTTTCCTGTAATGGTGTGCGGCCTGGTCCGGGTCGTACAGACGGTCTTTACAGATCTGAGCCAAGGGATGACAAACAGGCATGTGGAAATCAGCAGCATTTCCAACTAAGCTTCAGAGTAATCGTGCCTCGATCATCTGTGGCAGTCATTACACCTTGCACATGGCAACAAATACTCAGTCTCAGATTTTATTTCAAGTCAGATGCATTTATCCACAGAGGCTTGCGATTTAGAAAGCAGGGTCAGATAGACCCAGGAGCAACTAGGGGTTAAGGGCCTTGCTTGAGATTTCGGCCACAACCCACAGAGCCACAAACAGGCTTAACGTATGTAGCAGTATAATCAGTAGCAAAATCAGTGTGTGAGATACGTCTGATTTATCTTTGCAATTAACTTCAGATAAAAATTAAAATAAAAAAAAAAAAACAAAAAAAAACCCCACAAGACTGCAGACTACAACTACCACAAGATTAAGGTCTCCTACCTGGATGACCTCGGCGAGGGTGCGCACAGGCTGAAAGGAGTCCTCCATGTTTTGGCCGAGGGTGACCTTAGTCATCTGGCAGACCAGACCTTCCAGGCTCGCATTCAGCTCACGTTCCACATTGTTGCCCAGACCCCAGTCCAGACAGGAGTAGATCAGTCGTCCAAGGTAATCCACAACCTGGAGAGGTTCCAATCGATGGAAATACAGCCAGGACGAAGGCACACATTCCTGAACCTCATGGTAGCCATGAATTGGCAGAGCTTAGGCTACAGAACTTCAGCTTAGTTTCAAGGACTTAAATTACGGGGAATTTTGGATGTGACTTACCTGATCTTCAGTCTCCAAGGTAAAATAGTTATCTGAAGGTCCATGACAGAATGAACGAATTAGACCAATTAAAGTTTTGCTAGCAAATTTACTTTTTTATATGTAGCCTATACGTGAAACTAAATATTCACAAAGATTAAATTCTCTACAATAGCTGATGTGATCCTTAATCAGCGTTGAGAGAGGTTTTAAAGAAAATAAACGCACCCGCTTCGTTCACTTTGAGGCGGACGCTGCCGTCGCCGGTCAGAAGGATCCCGTCGGTGTCTCGGAGCCGGAGAGCCTTCCGGGGGCCGTAGACGCCGCCGTCGGACAGTAGTACGGACAACTGGTAGCACAAAGCCCAGGCTTGCTCCTCACTCACCGGCTGGTCCTGCAGCTCTAGGATGTCGTGCAAGGAGATGAGGGAGACGCCGGGCAGGGACACACGCCCCTCGACTTGCTCCAAGGCGTGCGAGCTCAGTTGCAAAGCTTTTAACAGACCCTTCCCGGCCATCTTTCAGTCAATTACACCCGGGAGGTTTCTTTGCTGGGCAGGATCTCCAGTCTACGATAGCAAATTCATCAAAAACAAAACAAGTACCCTACAGCTGATACCACCTTCGGAAGTGATTCGGGGAAACACTTTAAATCGTGCGTTACGTGTTAATAATACTAAAGAACTGTCTTAAACCGATGCCTAAACTAAAAATGTTGTTAACCATCGGAGCCAAAGTAATTGGAGTTACGATCAAACATGGAAATCAAAGTGATTCTTTCCTTTTTTTCCACCGTCGGCGTGGCTCTGTAATTAGCGTAACGTTTTCCACCTGGATGGCTGTTACACAGACCAGCCGCCTGATAGACAATCTTTCTCAGAAAAGCGGCATCATCATGAATCATGAATTTCTGATTGCAAGCATGATTGTTTTGGAAGATGTCCTGACTTATACTGCATTTATCGCTAAATGTCAAAGACTCCCACGTTCACGCAAGGAATCCTACGGTAACTCTATATTATTCCATTATAAACCTAAAATTAGCTACATCAAAAGCGTTGAAATAGTTTGCAAACACAACCGGTTATTTGCAAGGTAATAAAACTGTTACATACATGCAAAATACATGTGCAGACTTGTCTCGAATTGAAAATCTCAGGCCAGCCACCTGACCAAAGTTGGAAACCCTGTGAATGAATGATTATAAATATAGCCAATAAAACACTTTAATAGGCTACATGTTGATATTGGCTTCATATTTCTATATTTCGCTTTTCCGTGAGTTCTAATGTTGCCCCGTTATCCACGTGTGTTTAGTTCTTTCTCTTGCTGACGTATTAGTAGCACCTGTTTCACACCTCTAGCATGGGGGGGGGGTTTGAATCCTATTTCCCCCTCTCTGTGGGTTTCCTCTTTCAGTCAAAAGTCATGTAAATTGTGAGGGACTGGCCTCTCATCCAGGATGATCCTCTCCTGTTTGGGACGGGCTCCAGGCCCCAATGTGACCCTGTACTGGATTAGTGGCTGAGAGATGTTTGGATTTTATGTCATCAGTAAAATAACCAATAGGATAAACCAGATGGAGAATGACGTGCATAATCCCGCCCACCGCTTTGAAAGCCCCTGCTCACCCATCATTTGACAGGTATCTGTACATTGACTATTTGTTGTGAAACCCTGGCTGGTATCACAAGTGTGTCTATATCCATTATTACATTTTCTAATGACACGATTATATTACAATAGGGTAAGATCCTATTAATTGGGAACATCACCGACACTATATATTACATGGTCACTTATTAAAAATGAGGCCTGTTTCCTCCCATTCTTACTGCACCATATTTGACTCATTTAGTGATTAAAATCACCAACATCGCGACTATTAGGAATAAGACCAAAAAAATGTATATCAGTGTTACTTTGTATTATCGCAGTAAATTTATTTTCGAAAAAAACGCCACACATTTGGTAAAGCACACAGTGGTGTTACTCTAAGCCAGTTAGTCCAGTGTTACAAAGACTATTCAGTGCACTGGTACAGTGGTTTGTAGCTTTCAGTAGTTATAAAGGCTCTGAAGTGTTTGTAGCTGCCTGTTATTAAATCACATAACTTCCACAGAGTTTTTTTTAAATCAGAGCTACGTCTTTGCACCTGGGTCATACAAAAAGAAAAATGTCTAGGAACCATGATAATTAAACAGATCTCACATTAACAAAAAGTGACTTAAGTTTAAAGCCTATTAAAAATGCTACTGCTGTGAATTTTATTCATATCTAAATCATGGCTAAGGCATTAAATAAATCTCTCATCCTATTTCATCGCCAATAAAGTGGAAAATTACATTCTGATTTCAGCAAAATTATATAATAGAAACTATAGGCGATATATTAATCCAGCAATTAAAATCAAACAAAAATCTTCGGCATTGCAGCAGACCTTAGACACAGTAGTACTGGTCAGACAAACGTGTATGATTACTTCATTATAAAAAGAAAGAAATCAAGTAGCTTTGACTATTCAGAAGTCATTTTGATTTCCTCCGCTTGGCCTGGGTAGGACCTGCTCCAGTGTTTGTATCTGTAAAGGAGAGAGAGTATCCATGGCATAAAAAATACTTCTGAACTTTCTGCCTGTTAATCAAAGCAAACGGCCATTAACACTTCTGGAGGCTGCCAATTCTTCCTTTAAATTTATGGCAGTGGGTATTCATCAGTTCATGCCATTCTTAAAACGACATTATCTTGAAAACTTTAGCTAATAGACTGATTATATTCTTTGTCCAGCTAAGATACAACCCAACAGAGTAATTATAATATAATAAGTATATGTTAGACCTTGTCCAGTGGCGGTGGTACAGATGACGGAGGCAGACCCAGTTCCCGGCTTCTCCATCCTTTTCCTTTGTCCTCCATCAGGCACCTCCAGTGGCGAAGGAGCCCCTTCATCTGGCTCCTCCTCTGCCCATGAGCTGCGTCGGCTTGCAGGGTTGGATTTCTCTGGTTCACCCACAGCATCCCTTTTTAAAAAAGAAATAAGAGGAGCAGCTCACTCTAAACCAGGGGCCACCAACCTTTTTGAAACTGAGAGCTACTTCACAGGTCCTGAGCCATACGAAGGGCTACCAGTTTGATACACTCTTCTTAAATAACAGATTTGCTCAGTATAATAAACATGTTTAAAATGCTTTTTTTTTTAGATACTGTCATTTTCAAATCTATATAAATGCAAATATGATTAAAGAAGAATAGCAACAGGATAAAATTAATTTTAGACGCTGCTCACTGGTGAGTTGTGCTATTCTTAGAACAGGTCCGCGGGCGACTCGTGGTCCTTGGGGGCGTCCTGGTGCCCGGGGCGGGGGGCACCATGTTGGTGACCCCTGCTCTAAACGTCAATGACTAGAAGACTTGGAGTAACTGAAAATTTGGGCCTTTACATGCGAACCAATCTTGGGTCTCCAGTGAAGAAAACAAAAAGGCCCAGTTAATATGCTTGGCCTGCTGAGATCATTTCCGAAACCCATCCGTGACACCAGTCAGCATTGCGGTAGCTCTCCGGCCTAAGGTACCGTGCCTCTAACCACCAAAACTCATGCGGAGAGCTAGATGCTCTTCTCCTGTATGCAGTACAGCCCTGAGCCATAAAAAAATTACACAGCATGTTCATCAACAAAAACTCAGAGATATTTCTGGTCACCACATTCCACATGCATTAAACTCTTGCACTTCTACACTTCTACTTGGAATATGCCCAAATCCTTCTGGGGGGAAATGCTCTAAGCCCCCACCCCATTTCTTAGTACCTCCTTCAGAGATGCATGATGTTTATTGGAATGGGAAATGGAATTCTGCTGCTTATATGAAGAGATCTGCATATTAAACAGTCAGGGGTAACATACTACACGGTGCATGCTATTTATCGGTCATACAGGACATGTGGAATTAAATAAGGCGTAATATCAACCCCCCCCCCCCTTGATGACATCTTACCCATTCTCGGTTAAAGCTGCTCCGCCGTCATCTCCTTTGGTGGTGGGGGGAGGGAAGGGGGGGTAAGACATGTGGTTAATAAATTGGCACTCATTACCCGAGCACTATTTCATTTCAAAATCAATTTGGTACTAATCACCCTGGTAATATCACAACATGTCCAATATACCTTCTTCAGTTTGATATGAAAAGCAAAAATATTAGGAGGGATCATCTACTTATCCCTCAGGTAATAATTCTTACATATACAATATTATATGATAAATAACAATAAAATTAGTAACGGGATACTGATACAATGCTATGCTGAACTGAAACACTTATGTTAACATAAAGTCGCTGTTACAGGTATCTATCCATCCAGCTTCCAACCATTTGTCCCAGTTAAGGTCATGGAAGGGCTTGGATCAAAATCCAGGCAGCACAGGTATCAAGGCAGGACTACATCCTGGATGGGAAACAAGTATCACTGGGAATGTACGCAACTACACTGTAGCAGCTGGTTCCACAGCAGATGATTGTGGTTCCTTTGAGGTAGTTCCGGAACCTTTTTTTAGTCCCTACTCTGGAGTAGGTACTTTTTGCTTGACCTGGAGCTGCTGAATGGGGTTTATAGTGATAAACTTTGCTGACTGGTTGACCACAAACACCAGAGCTCACTTGGAAGTTATGTAGAAGGGCAAAGTAAAGAGATTGAAGTAGTGGAGCAAAAATTGAGCAGATGGGATCATTTTTGTATATTAGTTACATTAAATGCTTAATGAATACTTTTTTTGGCTTGGATCTCCATATTTCTGCATTGGAAAATTTTATTGATAACCAATATACTTCTGTCTATTATCTCCAGTGATGAAACGTGCCACTGCTTACTAGTGGAATAACGTCACATTTCTTATGGTGGGGAAAATGAAAGATCGATTTGCTGGCCAGATGTCATAATGAATTATAAGCATGCCGTAGGTCATATAAATAAAATGCTGTGTCCTGTTTTGAGATGGGATGCGATTTGTCCAGTATTTTTGGACCATGCACATCATCCAACACCTTGAAGTACAAAAAGTATGGTACCTGGTGCAGTGGAAAAGCGCCCTTAGAGACACCGGTTCACATAACAGGGGGAGAACATGCAAGCTCCACATACAGAGTGGGATTTGAACTCCTCACCATGGAGGTGTGACACTATGGAGGTTCTATGCACTAAGCCACCCTATACATCTTAGTAAAATAGTTATTTTCTAAAAAATTTTTGTTGTACAAAAATCAGCTCATGTAAGTCTAACACAAGGCATATGATAAACTGTAAAACAAAATTTACCAGTATGCTGTGCACTGTTTAACCTGGGTTCTACAGCTTGGATGCTTTCTGGAGCCGGTCGGCTGGTTTCAACCACTGCAGGTGGGCTCTGCTCCCCATCTGGGGAGGGTGGTGCTGATATGGCTCCAGAGCTGACTAAAACTGGTCCAGGATCAGCAGTGTCTGCTGGGGAAAAGTTAGGGGGAAAGGGGAGCTCTGGAACAGGTTGGGGAGGTTGTTTTGGAGGAGAAGTGGATTGGTGTCCCTCAAGAATCTCTGACTGGCCAGCCGGATGGGAAGAGTGAGGTAGTATACTTCTGGATGTATGGTCCGATTGTCCTGCAACCTCAGAAACTTGAATTGCTTGTTCATCCACTTTCTCTACAGTGAGGGACGGAACTTCAGTTGATTCAGTCATGAGCACCTGCCTTGGGCTGCTCTTGGACAAGGAAACTGTAGTAGATATGGGGTTTTCTTGAGAATGAGCAGCAGTTCCTGGGCTGGAACACAGTTTAGCCGGTAACAGGGGCTTGGAGACAGAGGATGCCTTCGCTGTATTGAGACATAGAGATAGCTGCCCAAGTGGATTATGCTTTAGTGCAACTTCTTCAGCTGAATCTTTTTCCTGCTTTAGGGTTCCAGGGAATGGCTGTTGAGAATGGTAAACATTGCCAACAGCAGCAACTTGGTTTGAGGGCATCTTGACCTGTGCAACAAGTTCATGACCTGCCTGGTTGTTGTGAATGCCATTTACAGGAGACTGAGCTGATGTAGGCACTTGTGCGAGCTGGAGATCTGTTGACAGTTTTACTGACCCCATTGCAGTTACTGGTAGGGACATAACATTTGTACCGTGGGGAATGGAAGAAGCAGGATCCTGAAGAATTGAGTTGATTAAGACAGGAGTTGTTGGAAACTGAGGGGAACAAGAGTTATGTGCAGTTGTAGTAAGCATGGCTCCTCCTTCCCAGGGTGCAGAACCTTCATTAGGAGCAGTAACTACAGCAGAGACTAAGGCTGGGACTCCACTAGAAGTTGTGTTCACAGAAGAACTAATGGAATTTGAGGAGACAAAGATAGTGATTTGGTTGGAAGGAACGGAGGCACCTGAGGTGACACTCTGCAAGACTGCAGAACTTGTCAAGGAGTTAGTGGTAGAGTTAGGGCCAAGGTTTTGGTTAATGGTGACACTAGGGTGAGAACTGGAAATGGAACTGTTGATTGACTTTGGACATGAACTGGAAGTAATGCCTGAACTGGAACTGACAACAGTGATGAGGTTTTGATGGACATATGGGTTAAGTTTGGGACTTGTAGCTGAACTGAGTTTAGACTTCACTTCTTGTTCATTTTCTGTAAGGGTGGTGACATCAGAGTGCAGTTGGCTTTTGTCACCCACAGTGCTTTCATTTTCACTCATATTTCCCTCTGAAGTATGATCCTGGTCAGGTTTTACAGAAGTTGTGTCTGGAAGCGAACTGTCCAACAGCTGATTTGAAGAGGTTGGGACATCCCTCAGAGCTACTGAAGAATTGGGTTTAGGTCCCTGTTGAGATAAAGCCTCAGTCCGTTCTGCTTTTTTTACATCCTGAATTTCTGGCTCTCCAATAACACATTCGCCACATGGAGGACTTATAACATTCTCCCTTGGAGGGTCACTTGTAAGCTGGGAAAACTGATGCTTCACAGGTTGTATTCCTTGTCCTTCACGAGTCATGTCAGTGGGGTAGCCATGGCGATCATGGAACGGATTTTGGATCTCAGGCACATCTTGAGAAGAAGGGTGCATGGGCGTATGGCGAATCGTTGCATTTGCATTATTAACCGGGGGCTGCTGGTGTGTCGGGGAAGATAGGGATGTTTTAGTGCCTTTCTGGCATCCAGGGCTAGGTACTGTCTTGCGGGTTGACGCTGAGCTAGCATGTCTACTGTTGCTTGGGCTGGCTCTTCTCACCGGGCTTCCAGGTTTCCCACCTGGGATCGCTCTATTGCTAGCCTCAAGAAAAGACAGCTGATTATTGTTGTTGCCATTCACTAGTGAATTCATATTGGTAGGGGCTTGCCCAATGGCTTTCAGGGTCGTGGGGTTAAGGCCCTGCTGGTCAAATCCTCGATTAAGATTAGACTGCCTAGGAGGTAAAGGAATGTTTATCTTTGGTGGAAAGAGACCAGCTATTGAAGCATTTAATCTCTCTGGGGAGAGATTGATCTCAGAGGGCTCAGTGCTAGGTGGCCGACTGGTTTCGGGAAGTGGATTGTGATATGGCCTGGGACTAGCTGGGTTGGGTGTCTTGGGCCTGGAGCCCTGTGAGCTGGGCGAAATGCTGGTGAAATGAAGGCTATGTGAAGCTGGCATCGTGCCAGCCTGCTGCGGCTGTTGCTGCTGCAGCTTCTGGGGACTTGCTCCTTGACGCTGTGGTTTTGGCGAAGTCCCTGACTTCATCGGCTGAAGATCACAACCTTGATTAAGAACCATATGTGGCACACCACTTCCTGTTTCATTAGAAGTGTTAGTCGGCAGAACGTGTATTCCGGAGGCTTCATCTGAATTCAGTGATGGACTTCCCCGTACCGAATCAGGGACAGGAATCCTTCTCGCAGTTACCTGTGGGTTCATCATGAAGGGAAGTCCCCTCGGTTTGTCAGGGGATGGTGGGACACTGCCATTGCCTCGTAGGTTAATCATTACTGGCATGTTTCCCTGCTGAGAAACAGGCATCCTCTGGCCATCTGCTGTATACAGGACTCCCTGGGAGAGAGGCATTCTATTTTTAGCTTGTTCTTGCTGCCTCATGAGCATTATCATCTGCTGCTGTTGGTGATTCAGCTGGTGATGTTGCTGCTGCTGCTGCTGGATCTTTTGTTGAGGCTGGAACTGGTGTGGATTGACCTGGGTCTGACCTAATTGTTGGCCTTGGGACATTCGTCCAACTTGACCCAGGGGCACCTGCAGACTCTGCAATTTCTGCTGTTGCACAAACTGAATGGGTATTTGATGTAAAGCCCTTTGATCTCCCAGTTGACCTGGAAACCCTAAGAAATAATTAAAAGTAATCAAAAATAAAATTAAGTAATAATAATAATAATAATAATAATCGATACTTTATTGATCCCTTTGGGGAAATTGTGTTTTACGCTTCCCTCAACTTGCTCTTTTTCATAGAGTAAGCTGTCTGTGAAGGGCAGCCACCTGTAGTGGCACCCAGTGAGCTGGGGGTTAAGGGCCTTGCTCAAGGACCTGAAGACGTGCTGAGGCTGGGTTTGAACCGGCAACCTTCTGATTACAGGCACACAGGCTTAGCCCACTACATTCCCATACCTCTATCAAAGAACATTAACATATGTAATAGCGATCATGAATGGTAATAACTCATCAGCGGGTAACAATACAACACTTACCTGTAGGTCTGTTGGGGAGGTCTGGCAGATGGGATCCAGTGGGATCTATTCCAGGTCCCTGGTCCCCATGCATCAACTGCACCTCCACAGAGTTCTGAGGGTCAAGTCCACTGCAGAAAACACAATGCTCTTAATGAAGCCATTTCCATCACAAAGAAATAATCGCTTTCTCCCCATTTCTACTGCAGGCCACACTTACCAAAGGGCAACTTCTGCTTGTGCTAATGATCCTGCATTACCTTTAGCTTTTTTTTTGCTCGGGGTTTTTTTCTTTTTTGCTTTTGATTGGTTTGTAACCCCTTGCTTTCCGCTAGGGCCAACGTGATTTGCCGAGACGTCAGTCTGAAGGAGATTGACCAGAAGGGGACTTGTGAGCGTGATGTCGTTGTTGACCGTGAACCCACCGGTCTGCACGCACTGGTCTCCCATGCTCATCTGTCCTGGAAAATGGGGGTCGAAGGGCATCCCATGGCCAGAGAACTGACTACTCCCTACCAGCATTGACTGGGTAGTTGCTATCTGTGGATGCTGGTTCTCTAGGTCAGGCAATGCCTGTTGCAGAGGCATCTCCTCTGAGATGATAGTGTTATCCCCAAGTGACCGTGTGTGCTGCTGAACATCCTGCTGCGGAAACGGTTCCAGCTGCTGTTGAAACTGCACAAGTGCTGGATGAAGGCCTGCTGTTTGGTCGGCATTGCCATTCACTGGACTCTGTTGGAGTTGCTGCAGCTGCTGAATTAGATGCTGTTGCATCTTCTCATGCTGTGTCTGTTGAACCTGTTGCTGTGTTATCTGATGCTGATGCTGGAGTTGCTGTTGGGATTGAAACTGCTGCATCATCTGCTGGTACTGCTGTTTTTCCATATGTTGCTGCTGCTGTTGTTGTTGTTGTATCTGCTGCGGAGCCGACTGCTGCTGTTGTTGACCCATCTGAGTGTGAAATTGGACCAGGTTACCTTGCATGTTTGGGGACCTCATTATCTGACCATTAAACCCAAAGTCCTGCTTGTTTCCTTGCATCTGACTGACCATCATCTCTGTCATCATAGCATTTGGCTGCTTCATCATTGACTGGTTCCCCTGGTTGCCCATAAGCTGCCCTTTTCCTAGTAATGTGGGTGGAGTCATCCCTTGTTGTAGGCCCACATTGAAGTTCTGGTTGCCCATCAATCCCGGGTTTGAATGTTGAGGCCTGGTGACAACTGTCTCTCCCCCGACTTGGCCTTGAACCACCTGGCCAGCAAAGGAGGTGTGATTGCCCTGGGAGGTGGTGGACCCCAGTGGTTGGCTAGCCATGCCACTCTGGTTGCTTTGTATGAAGTCATTCTGATCATGTGACCCTTGCATATGACTCAGGGTAGATGGAGAATTGAGAGCTCCTGAAATTCATTAAAATTATACGATTAAAGGTCAGCAAATAATAAAATCCATGTAATGCACACAGTTTAAGACAACCACACATATCATACTGGAACCATAGTAACTCAAGAAACATTTTTAGAAACAGAACTCTGCTATAGTAACTCATAGTCTGTTGCCACTAGGTCGTGTTCCAGAAGGGACCCTGGGATTTAACCCGAATTGGAAAAACCTGGACAAAATCTAGATAAATCCGCAAAATTGTTACTATAGGAGTTATGTGTACAAACCAAATAAATTTCTATACATCCATCATTCAACCACTTAACCAGTCCCGGGCTGCCTGGAGCCGACCCCAGAAAGCAGGAGGCCTGGGGACCCTGCAAAGGATGCCAGTCCGCCGTAGATACACACAAGCAGTTTGGGAAATTCAGCGTCACCACCCGCATGTTTTTGCACCACAGGAGGAAATCAGAGTACCCAGAGTACCCAGAGCACTGCCGTGCAGACATGGGAAGGACATGGGAAGGACAGGCAAACTACAAACGGGATTTGAACCCCTAGCTTTGGAGGTGGGAGGGTACGGTACCTCCCACCGAACCAATGTGCCACATTACGCAGAATTACACAATAAACCAGAATTAACGCCTCCTATTTGAGGTTTGCCTAAACCACATTTATCTACAGCTATATGTTAAGATGTTACGTCTTTTAGGTTGTATTCTCCTTAGGCGTGATCTTCCCTTCCAGCGCAATTACCGTCTTGCAGATCCTTGACTTTCTATACTGAGAGCTTTGCCCTGCTTTTGGATTTGTGGACCAACAGCTTGCAGGCAAAGGATCAGGAGTGACAATGACTGATGAGCAATAGCACCATCCTTCCTGGATGCAGACTCATGCTCTCATATCGCTTGATCAAAGATCGATGACTGTCTGCCTGACATCTTGTGGTTACACCTCATACAGATCCATTACTGAGATGTCGGTTCCTGCATGTGGCAAGTTCGGGCTGGTTGGCAGCTGAGGGTTTGTTCTCAGGTCCGACATTGAACTTGCCTCTGACCACCTTGTGCACTAACTAAACCCAGGGGAATACGATTGGACATGTCTATGGTGGAGTAAAGGTGATGTAAAGTGGCCTGAAAATGTCCATATAAATGAAAATGGCTGAATACGGGGGGGTGACACATACCTCCCGATCCAGCATGGGGGACCTGGGCCACCTGGATCTGCTGGGAGGTGACCATGACGTCTGGAGGAGAAGCACCACACTGCTGGCTGAACACCATCCTGCCTGGAGAGCTGATGGCGTGTGGCAGCCGGGGGCCCAGGTGGGCCTGATTCTGTCCCGGCTTTGGGGGAGAGGGTTGTCGGAAAGGAGAAGGGGAAGAAACAGGGGACTTTGAGCTGAGGTGACCCTGGTGAGTTGCATAGGGTAGTGGAGGCGCAGGGACTTGTGGTCCAGCTGGCCTTTGGAGGCCGTTTGGCTGCGGGGCCATGAATTGGGGTCCTGGTTGCTGTTGCTGCCCCATGGCATTGAAGATCTGGCCAGCTTGCTGACTCCCAGAGGGGTACGGAGGTGGAGGCTGTCTTGGAATTAGAACTGAGGGGTGCTGTGTCACTTGAACTTGCTGAAGCCCATTCCTCCAGGTCCCACCCATGGACCCCTGGGTGGGTGGCGGCTGCAGGACACCAGACGGGAGCCGGCTCCATCCAGCCGGAACGGGCATCTGATTGTTGAATGGAGCACAAGTGCCCCCTGGCTGCGTGAGCTGGGATCTCTGGTGTTGAAAGTGCAAGGTCACTGGGTTTAGTTGCCGTTCGGACTGCATGTGGGTAGGCACAGAGAGCATGAGGACTGGGCAGCGAGCTGGTTGAGCATGATAAGACTGTTGGTGCTGATGTTGCTGGTGTTGCATGGAGGGACTGAAGGCCATGGAGTTCGTTGAGTCTAAGGTCAAAACACAGAGGTGAAACAAAATGCCCAGCAAGGTTCCCTAGCTGCCAAAGGAAGGCCCTTCCTTACCACCAGAACCTTGTTATCATTAGGACACTTAGCAAAGCTGTGGGACCAGCGAGATCTCACCTGCCGGGGAGTGAGGAAGGGCAGCCCTCACCAGTAACTCGCCAGTGGCCCCTGCCACCATCCCTGGGGGGGGCATTCCTGGGCATTGGGAAACCATTGGCTCAGAGGGGTTGGTCACCCGCACACCTCAAATGGGAAAAAAATATCTGTAAAAATATAACCTTTAAAAACAAATGATACAAAAGATTCATGTGTTTTTCCGAGTTTCGGGAAGAAGTGTTACAGAACTTATTTTCAGTTCTAGTGGTTATTATCATTTTCTCTGATATCAGAACTAATGTCTTAGGTAGGTTTAGGCATTTAACTCCCAAGACATGCTCTCTCCCCACCTGGACCCATGTGCATCGGGAAACTCCCATCCATCCTCATGTGGGCGGCCGCTCCAGTGGGTCCACTGACCCTGACCTCCAGACCTCTATTCTGCGCAAAGGCAACATTTATGGCTCCCTCCCCTGAATGGAACCAGAGACACATCAATCATTTCATATTCATACAGTAACGGGAATCTAAGCCAATCAGTGTGTTTATCATTTTTCTAAGTGGACTACAATTGGTGCAGTTTCATCCAATCCCCTGCGATTTAATGTGAATAACCGAATATCAGAATGTTAACACACCAATGGTGGACAGTCAGGAACGGATATAACTAGTGTTGACACAGAGATCAGAATAATACTGACGTTTTGCATACTGTTGAATCATTGCTTTCCATAAGGCCAATCTCTATGCATGTAACAAAGTTCTCTTTGAACATGCAAATAGTCGAATGAAAAGATTTATTGGGTTACTGTAAATAAAAGTCAAAATATGCATAAATAAACTGAAGCAATATAAACTAATTGGCCATAGGGATATTAATTGATGGGAATTATTTAGTTCCTATCATAAAAATACTCTGTGATGTCACTAAACATTTGGAAAGTGAATGTCGTAAATTAAGAATATAATGAAGTAATTTTCCAAGAGTTACCAATACAAAAATAAATATTGTAGATTAAAAAGTAAGCAATCCATTGTAATTTACAAACACTAGCTCAACACACACTAGCTAGTCATCTTGTCCAACACACGAAGGAGCTGTCTGCAAATGAAGCTGTGCTGTTACACCTCCCGTTTAACGAGGTCAGCCCGGCGAGGCTCCCCTACCCTCGATCTGCACGGACAGGATGCCCAAGTCTCGCAGCTGCTGCTGGCTGCACTGGGCCATCAGGCGAAGACGCTCGGCGGCATCTCGGGGGACGCTGAAGGTCACGCGGACGCTGTTCCACGGCTCCACACATAGGGGGCGCAGTCTCTCCACATCTGACGGCAAGTGGAACCAACCAGGGGGAGAGCCAGGGGCAATTCCGCAATTTTTTTTTTTTTAAGGTGGAGGGCATAAGAGGAGCCATAATTCATACAGGGAGGCCAACCTTATTAGCCAATCATATGTTTTGAATTGGCAGAGTGACAGGCGAGAGGGCATTGTGGGGGCCAATCGGTTTTCAACTAAGGCCAGTGTCTCTCTCACCCCGCTTCTGAGTAACAGAGTAACCAAACCCAAAGGAATTGGCTGGCTAACGCTGTCCATTTATTATTAGGTCTGTGTCCATCTTACTCCTGGGCCGTAATTATTGTGTCTTCTCATTATTAAAAAAACGCAGCATATTTTTTGCCAGACGCCCTGTGCTGCAGTCATTAATGCTGCTTCCAACAACTGGGCCCCTGCTGTGTTGCATTATCAGCCTGCAGAGATGAGGACCAGAAACCCCAAACTGGCTTGTGTTCAGTGGGCCGACTGAATGGCTACGTTCCCTCCCTCTCCCCCCCCCCCCCCCCCAGCTCAAGCAGGGCTGTCCGCTGTGGATCAGAGTGTCTATGGGGGACAGCACTCTCATCCAAGCGCATCATTACCGGTAAGGTGAAATGAAGTCACAGCCTGGAGGAGGAGTGTGTAAATTCTACACCGTTCCCCAAACAAATCACAAAGCAAATAAGTAAAATAGAACATTTTTGCAGAATGTAATTTTATTTCCAAAAAGTGTCACTCACAGACTCACCTAATTGCAGTAAGCCAGGTATACCGCTCAAGATGCTGTCAAGTTTTTCCTGGAAGTCTTCATCGTCCATACTTCCCAGGAAGGCGATGAAGACTGTGGATTCCATCTCCTGCCCCATACAGGACAAGCTGCTTCCATGGTTACCGTCATCATCTTCCAGACTGCAGCCCTGCCCAGACTCAGAGTACATCACGACAGCCTTCGCACAGCCACTAGGTGTCGCTGGCGCTCGCCGGTGCGCCGTCAATCCCGGCGGAGAGCCGCAGCAGTACCGTCCCACACTGGCTACCCTGCTGGCCTTAAGCTGTACATCTGCAGGTCACGTGACACACATGCATATGACACAAAAGTCATGCGGACAATATGGAATAGTGGACTACGACTTTGATTTTGATTGGTTTAAAAATGAAAGGCTGGATATAAATTCTTAAACTAATGTCTGCTAATAATATTCACATAGATTGATCATGCCTTAAGTTAAACATGAGTTAGTGACCGTTCTGTCGTTGGCTTAATCTGTAACCATGCGTTGCATATGTAAAAAATAAACTCATAACCTTATATCTCTGAATGCATTATTGCGATCATTTACCGTTTTTGAAACATAGCAAAATACTTCGTTATGTGATGGTATCAATGGTTTATTATAGTCGGAGTTCTAATTAAATCAGACTGCATATTTGCTATAATTAAAATTAAAAACACATAACGTGTCATAAAGTGGATTATTTACTAATAAAATTGCAATGGGAATTGGAAAGCGAGCAGTATAGCAACAGGTGGAATTCACGGCCGATATCCGTACGCAGGGGGATTAGCGCTGGGGTACGTCTGGCAGTCCGGCCCGTTCTCTCGCGGATTCATTTGCCACTGGATCTTACTAACCGCAGTAAATGGTTACTTATCAGTTTCAACTATTTGTTTTATGTATGGGGTAATTTCCGTTAATGGCAGTGTGTTTCCCAAGAACTTAAATGCACCTCGCAAACTGCCAACTGTACTTTTCGCACTGTTTATATAGCAACCTCATCCAGATAATGCAGCGATGTGCATCCTGCTCTTCATATAGGGGGGTCTGCATTTATTTCACCCCTGCTGGAGCGGAGGATGCTCGGGTGAAGCCTTTCCGTCAGCGGATCAGGAGTAAACCGCGCGCTCCCGGCTCCCATCCAGACGTTGGCGGCTCACACCTCGCCCGGGCATAAGGCCCCGGGTTGCCTAGCGCTCCACTCCGCCACCATGGACCCAGCCTCCAATACTGAGCTAATGACCCAGGAGCACCAGCTCCAGCACTAAGTGTCTGCTTATAAGTAAAAGTATTCGAACTATTTACGTTTCCCAGATAGGTAACACAGTGCAAGTAATGTAGCTAATATATTTTCATGTTCATAATGAATAAATAAATAGATAAATAATCCCTTACCAGGTCAGTGCATTTGGAAATTATCCCTCCTATTCATTAACAAAACAGGCACCAGGTAACCGTGACCACACGCACGAAGTGGGAGGAACAAATGAATCCAATCTCAAGAGTCACCCCCCCCCCGCGCGTTTTCTCCATATTCTCGAAGAAATTTGCACGTAAACTTCCTTTGTACGCTAACTACTGCGCCGTTTGCGTAGGGCCACAACGCTGCAAGATAACTATGGTTGCAGTAACGGACAACCGGATTGGTCGAAATGTACCTACAATCCAGCAACAGTAGATGTATCTTGTTAAGGGCTGGACCAATAGTTAAGTTACAGTTTAATCGCAATCAACTACAGCAATTTAAGTAACAGAGATACCTAACCCACATCTATTGACAGTGCCGAGTTAACTCGGACATCTAGATATTTTAAAGAATTCTAGGACTTTATTTTTTTTTTTCAGTTTTTGTTTGATACATTAATCTACAATGCCTGCTGCATAATAATTTATCACATACATGTCCGTTTGTCGACTTAAAATAACTTTAAGAGCAACAATTCTAGAGAAAAAAAAGATTGGGGATATGAATAAATACGTTTTATAAACATCGCAATATATTTACATTTAGCTTTTTTCAGTGGATAAGTAGACCCCATTTAAAACCGTACCATATTAGCCTTTTACAGACAGTAGATTCAAGAGCCATCTGTGAACCTTTTTTCTATTCCTCATACAAAGCACAAACATTTACAAAGACTGATATATTAAAGCAAATCAAACATCTATAAATTAGTACTTTAGTCAACTTCTAATCATGGGTGCTATTAACTACTACCAAATTGAAAAAAGAAATCTGATTTTGCCTACAAACTCAACCAAACTTCTCTTGCTAAGAGAAGCTTAAACAAAACAAAATAAATGGTCATCGAACACAGAGGAATTTGTGAGCAGACTACTAAGAGGGAAATAGTAACAGGTAAACAAGAAAATGACCAGCAAACTTTTAATCAAAAACAAAGGAATAAACCCTCATTCTTAAACTCTTAAAAATAAATTGTTCATATTATTTTCCGAATATATTCCTTCTCAATTCGGAAAGAAAAAAAAAAAAAGTATGCAGCATTTTAACGGTAACCTTGTAAATAAAGACATCACAAAATGGGGAATAGTAGAATGCGGATGTTTACACAAGGTAATGATCACCCAAACATACTCAATGATGGTTTAAGAGATTCTATTTTCTTTAAATAAAGAAATGTTTAATATAACAGCAAGACTGAAAAAGGACTGCAATCTTGAGAACCGTTCAGAAAAATACTCAGACACGCAGATGGTTATAGTTATCTGTGGTTACTTTTCTTAGCACACAAACTTATTTACAAATTCTTAACTACTTTTGCCGTCCATTCATATGGTGCTGGATGGATGTGGAAGAGATTTAGGAATAGTATTCTTAGCAGTACAAGAGCAGCGCCATAACTGTAATCTGAGGTAACAGTACAATTCCTTATCTTCCATTATGCATCATGCCTTCCGTAGCCTCTGCTCAAAATAGCGGGGCTTCTACCCAGCATAAACACAATGTGAGTGGATATTTAAAAACAAACCGTCAATTAGTACCGTAATTTCCTTAAAACAACGCAACACACTCCACAGTCTTATGCTTGTATGACATTCATTAAATGCATAAACATCTTTCTGTTTTAGAGGTTTATTTTATAGATCTGTAACAAAAGCAAGTCTAACAAGACAGGGATCATAAGCAGTATTTCCCTTATTCAGTTTTTGAACAGAACAAGTTTTAGCAATACTAACAGCGATATTTATGTGATTATTGACTTCTTTGGAACCCCGTTTGCAGTCACGTTATCAGCATTCTCCAGCATTGCTGTCTTTGTGAGGTTCCAATTAGTCTGGCAAAAACACAGGTTTCACGACATATTACGAAAGCGGCTTTGCGTGGATAGTGTTAGCTCTGCTTTGCAAGATACACCGGTCACAAATTCATAATGTCACACGCAGGAGGGCTTGTCTTCCAACCACTGTATCAATTCAATACTTGATTACTTCTGTAAATAACCATGCACGTCCGATCGGTGTTGACTGTACCTCACCTCGGTAATCTCGAGGAAGATGGAGGTGCTGAGACTGGTTATTGACTAGACCAGAGGGGATTTCAAACCAAAACCAACATGCACATTGACCTTCCTTTCGAGTGCTCAACACAGAAATGGAATGACAAGAAAGAGCCATACTTACAGCCTTGAATAAGCAAACCATAAATGATTTCATGCTGCTAAAATGCCACGATGATGTTACAGACTTCCCTAACTTTGACTGTTGAGAACTGGCAAAAATTACTTGTCTTGCATGCTTGTTCCATTCTGAACTGGAGGAATGATGAACATTGGGAATGCTTGGCATGAAATGTACCCAGAAAGTTTGCCGTGTGTTAGTACATGCTGGGATTTGTCTCCATCTGACCTAGCATGAGACATTTCACTCATTGGAGTTTTGTTTCAATTTAAAATTGTTCTGGAGGGCAGGAGGGAAAACGATTGGATCAGAGAGATAACCAATCAGATTGTAGAGGAGGTGAATCCAAGCAACGAAAGGAGGCAGGACCAACCAATCAGATATCTTGGCCCCGCCTCCTATAGTCACATGGACCACCTTCTCAACCAATCTCTGTTCAGAGAGATAACCAATCATTTTTTTTTCTTCCCTCAGAACATTTTTCTGTAAGTAAAACTCCCACGAGCAGTCATATCAACATTTTCTATGTAGATATACAGTGAGAACACCAGGAACCAGAGAAGATATGCCATTTATTGCCATGGGTTGTTATGGGATGTACTCACTTTACACACGAATCAGACCTCCCAACCCTGTTCCCAGTCCCTGAAATTGCAGCCACTAGGGCATGGACATGGTTATAGCAGATGCATCTGAACTACGTGGGTCCTTCACCCCGATGATCAGGTCGTTGGTCCGTCTTGTACCCTCCACCAGCGACAGTACTGCTACCTGCTGCACTGCGTGTCCCTTCAGCCGGAGGTAGTCCACATCCTCCTTAGTGAACTTCACTGAAGGTCCGACGAGGACAGACACACGGGAACGAGAACGACACATTGAGACAGTGTGTGAGAGCAGTATGTCTGAATTTTTCACAGCTGTCCCACAACTGACATAAAAGCACTATTCGTAAATACGTTAAGGCTAAGTACAGATGCTCCTAGCTTTATGACAGTGTTACAGCCATGCACATTCAGTAATCAAACTTTCGATTTGCTCCTGGGCAATGACAGGCCACACGATACTTTCTGCTGATATTGGGTAATGGAGGCAGCTAACCGTCCAGTCTCTGTAGCGATCCAAGCGTAAACATCTCATGCAGTGTTTAACAATCTATCCTACAGTGTTTAACCAAAATTTCCCCAAGCCCATTATGTCTATTAAACACCCAAGTGTGTCATATCAGATCCATCTTTGACTTACGATATTTTCAATCTCCGATGGGTTCGGCAGAACGTAACCCCATCGTAAGTCAAGAAGCATCTGAATACATGCATGTAATGATATATGTAATATATTACACATTGACGCAGGTGACCAAATAATACTTACAGTCCACTTGCAATGTGTTCAACTCCAGCTGTGGATGTAACCTTCCATAAGATAGACTGTCACTCAAATTTTTGCGAAATGACAAGACGTTCAATAAGACCTATAAGGAAAAATGATCACAGTCAATAAAGATGACCCAGAGGTAACCAAGGCCAATGCTTGCATAATTTACAAGAATTACCAGAATAAAATCCACCAAACTCCTAAAACATTCTGAAGCCACTTATTGAGTACAGCTGCGATGAGAAAATAACCAGTACGGCACAAAAACACCATAATTGAAAATTCAAGTAGTATCAAAACAAATAGACAAAAACACGCTAACGAAGGGAGACACACCTGGGTGATGCCGCTGAGAGCACGGTCCCCATTGGAGGAACCAACAGCAACATAGGTACCGCAGAGCCCCAGGGAAGGCCTCACCACAGTCGGCAAGAGGAAGGACAGGGGTCGCTTACCAGGCTGAACCGAGTTTCTCTGGATAGGAACATGTTACCAAGCCCCAGAAGTCAGCAATGGGATTTTAACCCAAGAAAGTCACTGCTATGTCATCACGCAGTACATTTATTTAAAGGGGACCTATTATGCTCATTTTCACTGTTCATAATTTTATTTCTATGGTGAACTAGAATAGATTTGCATGCTTCAATGTTCCAAAAACATTATTTTTCTCATACCATAAATCTCTATTCACCCTCTGTATGAAACGCTCTGTTAGAGCTTTAAGCACCACCCCTGATGAGCCCAGTATGCTCTGATTGGTCAGCTTGCCCGATTGGCCACCTTGCTTTACACGTTCTGCCCCTGTCTTGCAGTCTACAGACAGATCCTTGCAGGTAGGCAGCCAATAAGGATACTGCTACAAAGTGACCTCACCACGTCACAGAAGTATGGGCTGGAATTCCAATGAGGCGTTTCAGGGAGATTAGAGAAGTGTGGTTTCTGTGGTCAGAGTTACTCCCTTTGTAGGATTAATAAAGTTAATCTCATCTTACTTTGAGTTAAGACTTTGCAGACCCTTTTCATGCACATAAGGCTAAATAACACACTAAATAAAATGGAAAAGCATAATAGAAGCATAATAGATCTCCTTCAAAGACTGGAACACAGGGTACAAGTGCACACTTTTCAATACTTAGTACATAGAGCCATCATGTTCTTGATACAAGTGCTAAATTACTTTCACTGTCCTAGGGAACACAATTATGAAAAACTGTCTACCCCCCCCCCCCCAAAAAAAAACTAATTAGAGAGGGGAGGACTGGATTTGAAAACTACAATAAACCATTAACATTAACACAAGGAAATCACATCAATTACAGGATATGATGCAAGTGAATAACTTGCGAGTGATTGGCCATCAGTACCGGGTTGGCCTGGGTGGGGCCATCAGTCTTGTTGGGCCAAGAAAAGTCCAGGATCTGACTGTTCAAGAGAATCCCAGAGCGGGACACGATCCCACTGCCAAATGGCCGGTTCAGGGAGCTGTGAATAGGAGGAATAATGAGACGGGAAGAAGAAACACATTCTGTACCATTGAAAGGGAA